TGTACCAAAAATTGGTATTTAGCAGAATCCTGCCTTTAAGACCGTTCCACTTAAGTTTTACAGCTAACAGCCATCAACCAACCTAACAGTTACCATACAGATAGTTTTAATTTCCAGCTGACATCAGAACAGAATTGGTAATTTATTTAACATATCAGTAAAATACTCCAGAATGTACAACTATGGATATGTGGAAACCACTTCCTGACTATGTAGAATCTCACTTATTGTAAATTCCATAGATGTTATGTTGAGTGTGCACACTGAAAAAGTATTAATTGTGCCAAACAGAAGGAATATTCTCTCAATCTCATGATTATAGGAGTGAGGCTTTTTTCCCAAGGGGTTTAGGAAAAATGTCACCATGACAATAGATCAGGGCTGTCAAACTCCCAATCCACAGGCCGGATGTGTAATGCGCTGGCCACGCCCATGCCTAGTTTAGCAAAGGGGTGGGGGAAGTCTCGATACGTCATGTGATGCCGACATGACAATGTGAGTTTGACACCCCTGCAATAGATATTCATTGAGCTTGTCTAAGCAGTATATCGTCTTCATGACAAATATAAAATTTAAATTAGGGACCTTGTCCAATACAGATCAATTGCATAACCACCATTTTATAAGCAGCAGAAACAAGTGTGAAGAATCTTGGTGGAAACCTTGTTTACATCTCCATTTCATGGCTCTCACTCGTCCCAAACTTTGCTGACTGCTCCTTGAGATCTTTAAAAAAGATTATTAAGCTTCAGAGCAAGGGGAACAATCTGAGTATTATTTGAGCCCTTAGTAGTTTATAGACTTTTTTTAAAAATGAAATTATAAAAACATTTCCCTAATTCAAGGCCCACCCTCCCCCCATTCTTGGTTGGTTGGTTGGTTAGTTTTGTTTTGTTTTTTGCTTGTAATCATTCCTGTTTCTCATAAACATTGAGGTAGATTTCATGTTAACAAAATGGAAGAGAGGTGAAAAGTTGCAAGATACATTTTCAAATGTGTACCACTTACGTGGCTCTCTTCCTATTTAAATAAAACCAAATAGTTGTAGAAATCATGCGACTTATACAGATGAAAATTTTCTATTAATAATTTCAGGAGTTACATGATAGAGAATATCACTGCCAATGCAAGGTCTCTTTGAATTGCTTCATTTGGCTGCAGGCCCTGATTGCCTTCCTCAGGAGGGCTTCTTTCATTTTCTTGTAACATTTGCAGAGATTTAGGAAATGTGTTCAGCCCTTGTACTGAGCTACAGCACATCAAGAAAAAAATTAGTGTATGACAGCTATGACAGACATAGCAACCATTTGTTATAGAATGTATGTGGCCAAGGTAGGCTTCAACAGAAACAGGTCTATCGGGAACAATAATTAAAGCTTCAAGGCTGATATGGGACCCCATTACAAGATGGCAGATGGGGACAGAGACAAAGTGGACACAACTGGATGGTCTCCTATGGAAGCTGCCAGGAAACAGATCTATAACTTCCATGTATGAGTTCTACCAACCATGCAATACTGGATTTAAAAGGTTTTTCAATGCAATACTGGATTTAAAAGGTTTTTCAATGGAGGATGATTTTTTTCCTTGGCATCTTAGGAAGCTTTATGAGCAATCATTAAAAGATTGGATATGTTCATCAATTTATCCTGTGGAAGAGATAGCATAGCAGCTTCAGATATCTGAAGAGTTGCTTCTTAAAAGGAGCAGCATTATTATTTTTTATTGTTCCAGAGTTAGGGATTTGCATCCAGAAGAATTTCTGATCATATAGGTTGCTAGCCATTGGAGTGTACCAGCAAATGAAGTATTGAGTTCATCAAACATGTCATGTCCTGGATATCATTTGTCAGACATATTCCAGTGGAACCACCACTGAGAAGGGGGTCACGTTGGATGTATTCTAGGGTCTCCTCCAACTCTATAAAAGGCAGTTTGTAAAATGGTTCCAGGCTTCATTGGGAGGCAGGAAACATGTTGGGACTCAACTTCCCCAATCCCAAAACAAAGATCAGAAGACATGCTTCCTTGTGCATTTCTCCTGATCATAGGCACAAAAATAAAAGGAGGGAAAGGCAAAGAAAAACAACACACTCATTTCCTATAGTTACACAGCAGCTAGAATTTTTGGATATTTGCAGTATCCTATCTCCACATTTAAAATCCTGCATTAAAGGGCAATATGGATTCAGCATTTTGAGATCCTTGCTGAGTTTGTTCTAGCCACAAGGACAGAAGCATGCCATCTTAAATACTGGTCTATAACAAAACATTTTCAGGGAATTTCATTTGGTCTCTTTTAATTTTGGAATTCATATCCCACCTTTATTTTATTTTTTATTTTTACAACCCTGTAGCTGAAATATTTACTGGCTGGATGCCCTTCCTGATGCCTACATGAGGTTCACAGCAGATATTTTTTTCTTAGTACCTTAGGAGAGAAACATCTGCTGCTACCTAAAATTGAATTCTCAACCTTCTGAGTGGGAGGCAAGCATCTTCACCACTAGGCCACTACACTGCTCTTATCCTACCTTTATTATTTTTATAAATAACTTAAGGCAACAAACATACCTAATATCCTTTACTCCTGCTACTTTACCACAACATCAACTCTATAAGTTGAGTTGGGCTTGGAGGGAATGATTGCTCCTAAGTCACCCAACTGGACTAGAACTTTCACTTGGTGTGCAACTTATTAGAGAAAATCAGTTCCAAGTACTGTAAGAATCAAAATGGCAATGTGAAAAGGACCATAGCAACCATTCAGTCCTTTAGATTTCTGCAACCAACATAATTCTGCCAAATTACTTTTCTAAAATTTGGATCTTGAACCAAATTACTTTGAATGTGATATAAGTATTGAAAGTTTCTGTCCGTGTATATATAAATGTTGAATCCACTTAATTGTTTGTATAGTAAGTGGCCTATTTCCTTTGCTAGAAAGGTATGTTCCATCTCACAGTTTTATTTCTATGGCCTCTGAAATTGAAAAAAACAGGTTAGATTAAAAATACCCAAGCAAGCAGGGTAACTGAAGTTCAGAGAAGTTCAGCACCTTTTCAGCTTTATTTTTTAATGTAATCCCTGACATTCTCTTGTATGACAGTGGTTTCACAGCAGGGAAGGTTTGAAGACCTGATTCTCCTGCTGTTTAGTTTCTCCCTCAGCATGGGAAGAATTTAAATAAAGGATGGGCAAAATATTGACACATATAAAACAGTGCATTAAAATCTGATTAAAGACAAGGGGCGGGGGAATGTGGTGATTTGCAATCTTAACCAGACAAAGATGGGAAGTAAAAAAAATGTTAATTATTGTTCACCTCCCTTAACCCAGTGCCTCCCCCAGATGCACTGGATTAGTCATTCCTCAGCATCATGGACATTAGGATGATCAGAATGAAATTCAGCACAGATGGATGTATCTGGCTGAGGGAGGTTGCTTTAAGTCTTCTAGAATAATAGTTCCAACTGGTTTTATGTGGCCAAAAGGATGGAGCTAGAGAAATGAATTTTACTTCTAAAATTCAAATTCTCTTTAGTTTCAAAAAAAAAAAAAAAGATTATAAGTGCCAAAGACTCATGCCTATTGCCCAGTGGCAGTCTGTGACCTTGAGATAAGGCAGGCTGTAGATCTTAACACATACATTTGTTAATAGAACCTGGAGATAGGAAGACAGTTGCCTCAAGAAGAAGAAGAAGAAAATCCATGCAACTCTTCTCCCCCTCTCCACTTTTTTTTTTAAAATAAAACCTGATGTACAGATAGGCTGTTCCAAGGACACCATCCTCACAATAGGGAGGTACCATACATCTGGAAACAAGAGATCAATCAGTACATGACCCTTATCTTAGAGCAGTATAATAAAATATAGGTTTGTAAGGAGAGAGAGAGAAAGGGAGGGAGGGAGAGAGAGAGAGAGAGAGAGAGAAATATAGTGGTGTCAAATATGGGAAGATGTTTACATTTACACTGTTACCCCAATAATGTTAACATGCTGCCATTGCAAGAGAATAATGAGGCAAATGTGCAGCTACAGTTATTATATAAGAGCTATCTAAAGCAAGATGTGAAGTGGTGAAAAATGTGTAAAACAGTCACCAAAATATGGGAATGCTTTCTGGGCTTCTACCTAAGTGTGCAGTTTACAAGTCCTCCAGAACGACTCACAAGAAGCCAACACAAGACAAAAAGAGGAGCTTCTTTTGTGGAAAAAAAGCTTATTATTCAGTGCAATAACATAAGAACGTCCATGCTACACTTTTGGAAGTTGGCTCTATTTCTCAGCAGCATTTCTAAAAGTGGACTTTTAATGTAAAAGACCAACACAAAGACACTTGAACCAGCAATTGGAGGCCAAGGCTTTTTACATCTGTTAAACGACCAACCCCCAAATACCCTTTGTAGTAGCATAAGAAGCAGATAAATCAGACCCACTTGGATATCCCTGTGTAAAATAGGCACAAACAAAAACTTTGTGATTTGTTGTGCCTTCAGTGGGTTGGAGTTCATTAATCTGTTCTCCTACCCCACCCCAAAACACGCAAACTTGGGTTATTTTTTACCCATCCTACCCTGAGATCTTTCAGAGACATCAAAACTAAACCATGTAGATAGAGTCAAACCATCACCAGAACAACCTCAGTATTGAGCAATCAGATAGTGAAGGTGACTGGCCCCTGCTAAGCTTAATTCCAGCATATTTCTCATTCCTTTCCCCCACCTTTGTAGCTGGTTGAAGCACTGGAGAAATATTGCAGATCCTGCCCATAAAGAGCAGTAAGGAGAGGCAACCCACTTTAAAAACCAAGGCAAAGAAGACAAGGGAGAGGCAAAAATGTTCACGCTTCAGTCTAATGGAAACTTGGAGGTATTTTAGAGAGAAAGAGCCCCTTGTGGTGCCTCCACTTTTCATGCAGCATCCAAGAAAGGTGGGGTGGGTATGAGGTGGGCAATCTCTTTAAGGAAGCCAGAAGAGGAAGGACGGTGAAAGAGACCTCAGATCTTACTGTTCTCCAGGTGTGAATCAATGTGTTTTATCAAAGCATCATCTGGATAACCGATGGGAAAGGCCACCTGGCAGAGAGGACAGCTTCGGATGTCAGAGTCTACTGTTTCCATCAGCAACTAAGGGAAAGAATGCAAAGTAGAAAAAGGTATCATAAAAGTGAACTTATTAAATCTTCATTTTGTATCTATTACATTAATTAACCAAGATTCTGAAAGATTCTGAATCTTTTAGACATACTCCCATAATGGAATGGTGGATAGCCTATGACTCTCTAGGATACATATATAACTATAACTTCCCAGAAATTTCAAAGCCAATGGTGAAGAATGCTAAGAATTGCAATTCAGCAACACTGGGAGAGCCACAGGTTCTCATTCTTAATGTAACAATTTAGCTGGTAACAAATGAAGTTATAAAGTAAAATGTAATCATATTTAAATAAATTTGTGGCTGAAATGAGAGGTTCCCATTATAGAAAAGTGACCACAGTCACAGGCAAAGCATATAACTAGATGAGGAAAACTTCAGAGGGTATACACATTCTGTGAACTATGCGTTTTAGGATCTGCATTCTGATCTCTGAGCATGAAACAATATAATTAAATAACATCATCCTGTATTTGACATCAACTGTTAGAATAAAACCGATAATTTAAGTGATTTTTAAATATCACCAAATGTAGCAATTATTTCAAGTTTTAGATCTTCCCTATCACTTTATAGCATGTAGTGTTTTGCTGTCATCTGACACTACTGGTGTCACTAAAGTTATTTGTATTTCATTCATCAATGCAATATTATTCTTATCTTCATGAAATATTTATCTATAAAAATTACCAATTTATCTATAAGATGCAACTACTTGTATCTTACAAATAAATTTGTAATTTGTATAGACTACTTAGCTAGTACCCCCTCTTCGGGAGGGGGGTAAATCTTGAAAAATATACATGCAAACTATCATATGTATTTAAGAACAGTGATTAGCATTTTGGGGCCACAGTTAAATTGTCTTCCACTGCTGTTGTTTTAGTTAATTCTATTTTATATAGGACTATAAACATGTTTTTTGCATGGTGCTTTATTGCACAAGCCAGCATGAGAATGCAATACAAAATAAGCAATAAAATGTAACCATGTTAACCAAGATAAATATTGAAGATGAGGAAATAATTAAGCTATCATGAGCATGCTTACAACCATGATACCAAAATATCATTTCCATCTTTGTTGAAAATAACTGGGCAACCTTAGAGTGCAAACTCGGATCAGATATGGCGAAATGTTGCACACTTGTGAAAGGTCAAGCATCTTCTAGAATATCATCAGGAACCACTTAGGTTGGATGTTAATTGCTAAGGTTAGGTATGTAATTAGAACAGATTTTTAAAAAATTAAAGTTAAATAATCTACTTGGTTCATACTATGGATCACTGCATCTTTTCCAAAAAGGGCATCAACTTGAATTCAGGCATCAGCATGAATTCCTAAGCTTGAAGTTGTGCTCATAACAGTGGGAGCCTGATGTATTAGGATCTGCAGAGAAGTTGAAATAAAAATATAAAATTTTAACAGGCTCACTGAGGCCTTGTCAATGTATAATTAAAAGATGGTTATCACTATCTTGGGAACATCAGGTCTCACAAATTTTATTTCTCACAGAAAAGATTAAGTGTTTGGTCTGTGGTATTAAAATATACACCATAAACACTTTGCATTCTTAGAAAATCTTTGTAGGTAAAATAAATTGGGCAATGAAAGACCATTTAGTTAACTGATTCTGAACTGAATTCAAATTGGGGTGGGGAAAAGGCAGAGAACACACATGGCATTGGATGTTGCTTACATTGATTGAGGGCCAGGACTGAGCATGCTCAGCCCTGGAGTACGATGCATCAATCCGGTGCATGGAGGTGTCGGGAATGGGGAACCCTGCACAGAAGGAGGCGCAGCGGATACCCCCTACTTCAGGACTGGGGGGGCTTGGGAGGGCCCAGTCGTCTTCATCCGAGGACTGCTTCTCAAAGCGCAAGTGCTCTTCGAAGTTGTCTCTGGCATAAACCTCGCAGTAGGGACGATGCTTTGGTAAGGTGGATATTTCTGGCTGCAGCCAGAGAGAACGGTTCTGTTGATACAGAGCAGCGTCGCTCACCTCCGAGTAGCTTCGACGACCTTGGAAGCTTGCTTTGATGTGGTGACTGGAGGGCTTAGAATATCCCAGATCCATAATGTTTCTGTCAGTCCCTGGAGATCTATGTTGTGAAGTCATGGCAGGCGACGAACAATTTTGGACTGGTGAGCAGCACTGCTGGGCAGAAGACTGGCTAGGTGGTGGAGCTGGCGAACGCCGCTGGCTAACAGGAGACTGGCAAGGAGGGGGGGCTGGGGAACGACGTTGATGTGCAGGGGATTGACCAGGTGGGCCTGGGGAATGCCTTTGTAGGGCTGGAGATTGGCTTTGAGGAGCAGAAGGCCTCCCTTGTTGAGCTGGAGATGTGCATTGGGGACCTGGAGAACCACGTTGCTGGGCAGGAGAATGGCGCTGGGAATGGGGAGAATGCCGCTGACCTGGAACAAGGGACAGAAGAAGAGATGTTCAAGGATGCATAAGTCATCCACATGACTGACCAACTTCCAAAAGAGGCCTAGATAATTTTGAAACCTCACATGATCTGTACGAGTTAAAGCTTTGGTACTATACACTCATTATATATTAGTTGGTTCTACATAATTCTTAATAGAAAATATGTTTTAATTAAAAATGTGTTTATAGCAAAGACTAAAGGATTTGCAAATTTTCTTGCTCATGATTGAAATTAGAATCGTCGTATTTATCAAAGCAGGTGGAAAGGGGTGAAGTACCACCTGTCTCTGCAATATAATACCCTTTCCTTTGCACTTTTACAAGGTAGGTATTCTAAAATCCCACTAGCTAAGTATCCATGCTCTGTGGACATATAGAAATACTTCATCATGTGTTATTATAAAGATAGTCAGAATACTTATCTCTTAACCATGTATCGTCAATAACTAAGAAATACAGTTTAAGTGAATCTATTGCTCTCAAATATGAAACTTTATATCACTGATAGCAGCTAAATTTGGTGATGCTGTAATGAAAATGAGTTAACTGATGAAAGTCTAAGCATTGTTGCTTTCCCTTTTTAATAAATATGTGTGTTATTTATTGATTGTTCTTTTTTCATTGGTCTGACAGAGATACATAATACTTGATTGTTGCTGGAAGAAGGAGAAGGAGAAGGAGAAGGAGAAGGAGAAGGAGAAGGAGAAGGAGAAGGAGAAGGAGAAGGAGAAGGAGAAGAAGAAGAAGAAGAAGAAGAAGAAGAAGAAGAAGAAGAAGAAGAAGAAGAAGAAGAAGAAGAAGAAGAAGAAGAAGAAGAAGAAGAAGAAGAAGAAGAAGAAGAAGAAGAAGAAGAAACCTCACCTCAACCTTCTGTGAACATAGTTTAAGCCTAGTTTGCTGCAGGCTATCTATACAGTCATTCCTTTATGCCCAAATTCCACTCACCATTCATGACCTGCTCCTGCATAAGAGTCCGGAGAATCTGACTTTGAAGAGAAGTTAGGTTTCTTAGGCGGCATAGCTCTTCAGTTAGTTCTGTGTAGGCCAGGGCTAAGTTTACTCTAACAAAAGACAAAAATAGGCAAAGCCTGAAAATATGTCAATAATGAATATTTGAATACAGAAAGCAATTTCTCCCAGCTGTTCTGTTTCCTTTTACTGCAACTTTTCTGGGCCATTATTGGTAGAAAAAGCCATAACAACTTCCTTCGGAGCTGACTTCTGAAGTCAGTCTCACTTACAACTATCATGAGCAAACTATCTTTTCTTCAGTGAGTTAATATACTAAAATCTGATCCACCTACAATACTCTTGGCACTACCTCATCCTTCCATTGTACAGATAAGGGAAAAAAGGTTGATTAAACCTACAGATAGAACACTATCTGAACTCAGGATACTTCATATAAATAAACATTATAAATGAATAAATCAGAGTGTCCTGGAGCATATAAATGTAGGGGATTTTCCAAGGATGCTTTATGAGGCCAACATTGCATCACAAAATAAATTACTCTTATGTGCTGATATAGAAACCAGCTTAGTAACATTATTTCAGTAATGAAAAATTAAGCAATTGGCAAGTTTATGGTTATATTGTGGCGCTCTGCCTAATTTCATATGCCCTCTGCAAGGAAAAACCCCTTCCCTGACAACATCTCTTAGGAAACAGGTAAGAAATGAAAGAAAATCATCCATCAGTAAAACTTGATACGAGGTTGTGAATTCCCTTTGTAATTTATCAGGAATGCTTCACAGAGACTCACTGCAGTGATTACTCCCAGTTGTGTCTCCAATATCAAATAAAGGATAATGTGTAGGTGATGGGGAGTTAGCATGGAGCAGTGGATTTAATTGGCCTAAATGTCATCTTTCTTCAGAGGCCCTAGGAATCTCAGTGAAATAGAGCAGTAGCCCAAGTTTGTCATTTATAGTCTTCAAATAAAGAATATAAAAATATGGCTTAGATTTTATGGTGCAGATGTATGCAACTGTTGAGAATGAAGCCACGGATAATTCAAATCTGGTTTATGTCCAGATGTAACAGAAGTGCGACTTCCAGAATTGTGGGTCCCTAGGGGGAATAGGAATTCTAGAAATACAATTGGAAGCATCAACTTGAGAAAGGCTATTGGGAAGTTAGTTCTGAGGTCTCAAGATTATTTTAGCAGTAATCTCAGCAGTAGGGATAATTCTCATTCCTGGCCTTAATTAATGCTTATTACTTAATGCTAGAGAGGAAAAGATTGAAAGTTCACTTCAGAGGTATAACTTTAGCAAGGATAATTAAGGTAAAAGTTTAATAATTCCCCATGCCCTTGTCCTACCTAATTTTTACAAGAATCCATGGGAGGCATTTTGAAAAATGGGCAAGCTTCTTCCAAGAAACCTTTTGTGTATCCAAATACTTACTTTTGTCAATTACAATAGTATTTATCAGACCAAATGAATTGCCTACCGTTGAGGTAAAGACAAGGACAACTCTTGATGATCATACATTTTCATTGGTTATCAAAGTGAGTCCAAGTTTCAACTGGGATACTTTTCCATCCAGTTTTTTTAAAAATAAATAAATAAAAGTATCCTAAAAGGGTACTGCAAGGGTACTGTACCCTTGTCACAATATTCTTAGATGGTTTGCCATTAGCAGTAAGACATTCTAATAATGTTTTGGATAAAACACAGGTTTAGATCCAAGATCCGTGTGTGCAAAGAAAGCAGGAAATAGAATCATAATAATAATAAAGTTCTCCAATGCTTTTCCATTTGAACACAGATAATATCTTGGATATGTCAACAACCATCTTCTCAGTATAGTGGAGGGTTTAAAGAAAGGGTTGATTCAGTTCTGCCAAACTTTTGTTGCTGTTGAAAATATATTGCTCATATATGAAATTGAAATAGGACAGACAAAGTATAAATATATATAGAAAGACATGGAAACTTAGAGGAAGATATATAATTGAATTTAGATAGGTGTGAGAATTAAAAACAAGGTTGAGAAAACTAAGGGAGGGAAAAAATTACGGAGAAAATGTTAAAATAGTAATAAGAGATGGAATAGAACACAAAGACGAATATGAAATTGAGTTTGTGTCTGTATGGAGAAGTGATAACCCGGGATCATGCTATTCTCAAAAAAAGATGTTTTATTTGTATTATAGTTTGTGAAAACCCAAATAAAATTTATTTTTAAAAAAAGAAAATATATTGCTCATGAATCCCTTCAGAGGGGATAATGGTTTCTCCAATATTCATCAGCTTTATTGGAAGTTTAAGATCAATGCTGAAATTAAACAGCTGCGAATATTTCATTAAGAATTGAATCACTATTATAGAATAAGCAGTGTGTCAAATAAAAGAAAAAATAAGTTCCCAGTTGGGCCTGACGATGAATCTTACTGCCAAAAATAACACTTCCATTTCTAAGATAGCATCATATTTTAACTAACTTTTGTCCTTATAACACCTTTTATTAAAGTCTGATTTTAAGTCTGATACCCCTGAACTCGAGATCCATTTAGGAATTTAGAACCACTTAACAAAACACCATGTGTGTTAAGCAAACAAAAAATCAGGGGTCTACCAATGTACTCACCACTGAAAAGGTAATTTATTTGTGTGAGGGCACAGAAACTGGGAAGCCCCCATTCTTTCCAAACTTATAATAAACTGGGGATTCCCCCGCCCCCCCCCCCCAATACATCCGGATCATTTTATTTGGTATGAGGGAGGATATTAGTATGGGGAAAATCAGAGATTTAGCAGGATGAGAAAGATCCTCGCTCTTTTTGGAGCCTGCAAAAAGGAGGACAATTTCCATTTGTAACCCGTTTTGGAAGGCTACGAAACAAGTTTTGGATGATTTTTTTTTTAATTAGGTCCACCCCAAAGGAGGAAATTGTTAACTTCCCTTCCCCTATTTGTTGCAACCTCAGTAATTACAAGGGTCTCCCCAACTCAGCAGAATATATGATACTAGGTAAGCCTTCCAAGGGAGATGTGGGATCTCCAATTTGAAAAGCTATCTTGGGATCAAGGTGATAGAGCAGCTTCAAGGTACTTCTGGTCAATTCTGAGTCCTGCTGTAACAAAACTTTCTCCACCCATAACTTGATGATGGCCAGACAGATCTGGCCTGTACAACCAAGATCGCGCTGGGCAAGGCAATGATGTCTCCTTATCTATTGATTGGCAGGCTGTCATCCAACAGCCTTGTTTAGAGTTCACTAATCCTAACTCTGCTGCTCTGAATACTAATTCACCAACAAAGGTACTCAACCTACCTGATTTTTCCAGGAAAATCAGCTCATGATCCCCCATATTTAGGCAATAAGCGGTGCTGAGGCTAGAGGGAACTTCTTCTCAGTGATAGCACTAGCCCTTTGGAACGGCCACCCAGCTGAAATTAGACTGACTCCTTAATTAGTTTCCATAGAGACTTTCAACCACTATTTCACAAAATGTTTGGTAATTTTGCTCTCACTCCCTGGCAAACTTTTTGTTTAGTTTATATGCTGTGGATTTCTTTTTGTTTCAGTTTTGACTGTTGGAGTTAACAGTCTGTTTTGATTGTTGACAACTGCAAGATACCTAGTTAATTCCAGCTTGAGTTTTAATTTCTTTAATAATGGCTATTTGTTCTGTTTATTTTGTGCATCTATATTTCCTTGTTGAAGCCAGAAGATACAGAGAAGTAAGAAGATTAAACTCTCAGAGAATTTTTGTGCTGCTTATTAACAACTGAGTTTGATAAGGAGAACGACAGGGTGAAACCCTGGAGGTTACAACTTTCTTCACCAAGACATTGTAGCTGATTGTACTGTGCAAAACCAGGAAATCTACTTAAGAGAAAAGTTGGCAACACAATAATAATAATAATGGAATATATATATATATATATATATATATTTTGCATGCAAGTCTGCTGAAATATGAATCCTTTTTCACCTTCCTCTTTTATTCTCACTCATTCATCTGCTGTACCCACTTGATATTTTTAAAGATGAGATTTTTTTAAAATACACAAATAAGAAGAAAATAAGTTCCTGATTCTCATGATTACAACAGGAAAAATAAACCTTAAGTACTGATGCCAAATGAAGAGAGTGGAACTGCAACAATTGTGGTTTTGTGTCTTCAACTGCAACCACTAGCACAACTATGTGGTTTAGTTACATGCTTGGTTAAGTTAAATTTTACCTAGAGATTAATGAAACCACTATGTTTGCATGTCAAGGCCCCAATCCAGAAAATCATTGATATAAAATAGATATATATGTTGTACCAGGTCTCTTATAGTCCTTACCAAAGCCCTTTAAACTGGGCCAGTATTATTCTTCCCACACTACCGATATGGCAGAAAGATTTTGAAGAAACAATTTTTCCATGGCAGTTTTCCACAACCATGGTATCTGCCAGAGATATGACTTTATAGTCCTAGAATTCCACAACCAGCATGCAATTGCAAAGAATTCTGTAAGTTGTAAGCTATGTAAGTTGTAAGTTATGTATTTTGTGATTATGCATATTTGAATCCTTCTGCTGTTGTATCTATGCATAAAATTGCTGGATTGTTTGGATTTTTTTTTATTCTGTTCAAAGTCTATGGACATTCTTCTGTTCAGCTGTGTCCAATTCTCAGAGACTGCTTGGACAAATCCCTACAGTTTTGTTGGCAAGAATTTTCAGAAGTGATTTTTTTTGCTTCCTTCCTAGAGCGAAGAGAAAATTACTGACTGATTAAGTCACCCACCTGGTTTCATGCTTAAAGCAGGACTAGAATTCACAATCTCCTGGTTTCTAGCCTGATGCTTAATTACTACTCCAAACTGGCTGAACATTTGTTTGTTTGGATAGGCTTAAAGTGAGCAACAGAAATTTCGGGCTCAGTTGTGATAGTAAGTAAAGGACTACCACTACTGATACATGTATATGATATTGTATGCTAAGATAGGTATGAGTCCCCTCACTTAAGAAGACTTCAGTCTTTTTTTTTTCTTTTTAAAGAGCAAACAAAATAGGCATAAATGTTATGATTTCAAGTATCTGAACTTTATGGG